CGTTGTACGAATCACTTAGATTTTACAAATACGTGTGCCGGGCTGTGAACGGCTCACGTATTTGTAAAATCTAAGTGACTCGTACAACATAGGATTCATATAATATGGAATTATCTACAGTGTTATAGGTGAGGGTCTACTGTAATTGAAACAAGTAATCTCAACCAGACTTAATATGAAGGATAGTTTTAGTTTCTGAAAAGTGGACATACACAGAGAAAAAAATATACTGTAACGATTTTATAACATAAAAATAAGAAATTATAGAGTAATGCAAATTATGATCTCATCGGTTATATAGTTATATTCTACTGTTAACTTAGTTATTTAATTTAGAAAATGTACAATCGGTATTATACAATACATCTATCATTTCAGTCTATATATTCAAAATGACAATACGTGTAAACGACTTATTATGATTAATTATTTAATAAAAGTTACCTTAGACGAGGATCGACTACAGTACTTTTGTCGCCGACGTTTCCCATTTTACAAGTGCCGACAGGATGATACGATGTTTGGGTGATAGTCTGGCTAACACATGCCAAATATTCATCGGAAAACTGCTTATGTTTTTCACAGCCTGGAATTATGGCATCTATCGCTTTGCTACCGATTTTTTTCATTGCGCCAGTTGAAAAGAGATCCAGACAAATTTTTGTGCCTATACATTTCAAATTTTCATTTTTAATTTGATTTTTTTTATGTAAAAAATTTGTTAAATAACAATACTTAGAAACTTTTTCAAATATTTCTATAAAAATTCTAATGATTATACAGTTTATTGCTTAAGTACTGATAACAATACATGTACAGCAACACAAGCAAACTCGCATATACTCAAAGTCGTAATTATCTATATTTATCTGCCTCGTGCAAAGTTTTATTTTTGGGCACCTTAATTTTTCCCCATCCCCAAAAGGGATAAAACATTAATAAAACAAATATGAATATTGACTGAGGATCAACGAGTAGATCAAATACAATATATATATATAATAGAACTTTATTAATTCTGACTATTTGGGGGAAGTTTTCGTCCGAATTATCCAGGTTTTTACTCAAATGCCTATTGTCCGACCTCACTCGAGAAATGACATATTTCTTCCTCTATCTCCCCTCATCTTCTTGACCTTTAACCACCAAAATTTAATAGCATCAATCCCCCTAATACACAAACCTCCCAGCAATGTTTCGACAAAAAGACGGGAGTTATTAATGGGATGAACAAAATCGTTCCTCCCACACACAATGTTACACGGTAGTCCGAAAATTATAGGCATTTCGGAATTAGTAAAATTCAGATTAGAGAGATTTTACTGTATTTCTATTAACAATAATTATTATTGTTGGAAAAAATTCATAGCTATCCTATGATATATAGGCTATCTGTTCTTAATAGCTTAGAACCTAATTGTAGTTTCTAATGACAAAATATCGTCGTTAGTTGAACACATGAATCTACCTCTCGTCATGTATCCTAATATTTAATTAATATAATAGAATACTGTCTTGGTTCGTACCCTTTCTATAATAGAAAAAAGCTATTAAATTGAACAAAATTACAAAGATAGCAGCTACCCTATTTACGTAATGATTACATACATATTTGATAGTTTAAAAAATTTTTAAAAAGATACAGTCTTTATATTTATTATAATAGGCGAATGTCTAAACAGATCTATTTAAATTAATATCGTAATTAGATTTGATAGTTAATTATAGAAATATTCTTAAGACGTCATTAGTGTTGGTTTTTATAGTTTTATAAAAATTAAAATAATAAGTTACCTTCGACCAAAACTTTAAGATCATCGGGATGAGAAAAGTAATTGGGATCAATAATGGGATGATCGTAAGGATTTGCCGAATTTAATCGAACTTCTCCTTTGCTTTTAGGTCTTTGTAGAAGAGGTGAACACGTGATTGTATGATTATTAACGTAAGGGAGAATGTATTCTTTCAGTACCTGTAATTAAAAATTATAATCACATTTAAATAAATCACAAATAATCGATGAAACGTTTGATGTATTAGCCTAAATCTTAAAACATTTACACAAATACTAGTATGTTTACTAATTATAATGGTTACCGAAACAAGAAATATTCATTGCAACTCATTCGATAAGACAAGCCAAGTCAGTGTGTCATATAGGAATTTTATACGATACCTATATGAAGTTATTTAGGATACTTATAAAGTGTTTTATTGGAGAAATTAATCAGATAGAAATAATTTATTAATTATAATAAACCGAATTTTTATACAGTAATATTTAGGAAACTTCAGAAGGTTGAAAAAATTGAAATCTTGTCTTAAATAAGTCGAGAGTTGGAAAAAATGATCTTTGGATTATTGAGGGATTTATTTTAACGGCACGAGGTCAATACAGTAATTAAAAACAATGTTGGAAAAGAATAAGACGTTAATTCAATACAAAATATTGTCAGGATTTTTAAAATTCAGTCGTATGTTAATCAAGTGGTTAGCGTGTATACGTGGAGGACATTTCAACAGTTTTTGTAAAATATAGAATAACTTCAAAAAATTCATACGCTTTTATAAAAAAAAATTTATGTAAATAAATGCATAATTAATTAATTTTCTGTTTATTCGAAATAAAAATTTGCTAGAATATTTGTTAAGATTTTGATGCAACTCTGATTTTTATCTCAAAGATACACGAACACTTGGACTCTGTTTATGAATAAACAATAACCGTATTCATTTATTAAACGATTAATTTATCTAAATAAAACTAATAAAAGTTTTTTGTAACTTTTATTAGTTTTAAGTGTAAAAATGACTTTTCAAAAAGTGGATTTTAAATACCTGATCTGATAAACCAACAGCATTTTTAAAAGTAGTTCCTCCATCGGAAGCTAAAGAGATTATTCCTAATACCAATTCTATATCTGGCCAATCTTCTATTTTATTATATTTTGTATTCACAAAGCCAACAATATCGTATCCTGCTAAAGTACTTAATATTCCTGTAAAAGTAAATAATATTTTACTTACACCTTATCATTTACTATTTACAGTATTTCTATTTTGAAATAGATAAATTATTGTATTATTTTCATAAATAAATAATTAATATATTTAAATAATTTAATCTCCTGTAAAAATTTTATTTTGTAATAATTCTAAATCATCAAAAATTATAAGTATTATAAAATTTGATTGTGTTTTATTTAAATTTTCAGATAAGATCTGGCCATTTAGCCAAGTTATTAATTACTTTCTTGTGTTTTAATAGAAGTTCTCTCTGGGTTTAGTTAATCTTTAATTTTTATTTAAATATTGATATATAATATATGTTATATAGTTTATGAAAATTATTTGCTAAAAACATAAAAAGAATATAAGCTAATGTATTTCAGTTATATATTCTCCACAAATAAGTTTCAATGAGACTTTATATTTAAAAACACATATTTTTTTCTTTACAGATTTTTATGTTAAAATTGGTACTTATATATTAAATCATCATTATTGTTTTTCCTTTTTTTCTAGTTTAAGTTGGTTAATACTAAACTAAAGTATAAATAATTTTTGGTGAAGGTTTGCCAAGGAGTTATGTCTTCAGCCTACCTCTCTGGGAAACCCGGGATCGAAATCTGACAAGTAATTCCAGTAATTTTTAGACCTCACAATCCCTCACAGTCCCTCACAATCCGATCGCCTCTATTGTGGCCTGGGTAAATCTCCGATGAGTACGAATTGAAAGATTCTCTCAGAATCCATAGAGTAGAAAGAGTAAAAAATGGGAAAAACAAAGTTTGTTTAAAGTATCTGATCTGACGAATTTATGGAAAAATCATTTGAAACGTTGAAATTCTTTTTCATTTTGCAGGTATTCATCGTACAATACATAGCGATGGATGAGTTACCTTTGTTTTCTTTTAAATATGATAAAACATCGTCCACTTGTATTCTTGATTTTAAAAGAGTTTCCGGTGATTCTACGGTAGCGATCATGGCTAAGGTGAACACATGATCCTGGAGGTTTTTTCCTACAGGAAGATCGGAAACGACAGGAATCTGAAATTTAATATTAAACTAGTTTATTGTAAACTTTCAATTTAATGTTGAAGAGTTCTAAGTTAGCAATTTTACCCGAAGATTTTCTAGTTCTTCCTTTGGTCCAATACCTGACAACATCAATAACTGAGGAGAATTTATGGCTCCTGCAGACAATATTACTTCTCTACGAACTGAAACGGTTATAGTTTTGCCATGGTAATCGAATGTCACACCAATTGCACGTTTATTATTGTCAAAGTTGATCTAAAATATAGTATATTATTTTACTTATCATTAATACACATGATTTTATTCTTATTTAATTCTTATAGTAAATTAAAAGCTATAGTTATTCTAAAATTTAACATATTTTTAATTGACGTATTTTATGGCGTAGCTTTTGTCCACCAAAAAACAAGCTCAAAAATCGGTCTGCATTAAGAAATGAAATGCATTTCCTTCAATAAAAACTATATCAATAACGGCTCCCTGTGTTATGTGTTACTGAAGAAAGCCAATAGCTTTTAAAAACAAAATATAAAAGTTATTAATAAAAACCAGAAAATGTATGGTTGAAAAGTAAATACTTTTGTTACGAATGCAGAAGTACGAATGTCTAAATTTCTTCTTCCAACTATAGGATCTAAAAATGCCTTCTTTGTACTGCATCGTCTTCCATCTCTTATTGTTGCTTGAACTTCGGAAAATACTGAAAATATATAACAAACTTCATTATAGATTACATTTAAATTTAATTATTTATAGTAGTTAAAGAAATGGATATCATTATTTATATTTTAAGTTTGTAAAACTTATAGAAAATTGATTTTTTTTTACGTTAACTTTGTTGGTACTTTCATCTAATACGTTACGTAGTATATTTAGTAAAAGAACAAGTTTTTAAAAATTGATACTTTACTTGAGGGGAAATAACCAGTAATTCGTAGTATCAACACAACTTAATAGGAAGAATTTTTAGTACACCTTTTTGAGATGCTCCATTGTAATCTCCAATGGGATAACCGAGTTCTTTTCCAGCTTCCAACATGGCCTTATTTATAGGGTTTTTGTACGCTGGCTTATCGACTGTTAATTCCCCTCCTGTTCCATGATAATCTGTAAAGAAATTTAAAGGAACAAATGTAGAAAACTCAGAAATTTAACAACGATATTTGCTAAATTTCTAAACAATTTTACTTCGTTTATTGTAGATATTTCACTTGTAAAATCGAATAAAAATTTAGTCGATAACAAACCTTTTTCGGTAGTTTCTGGGACTCTATTGTCCTCCGATTTTTTAAAATAAGGCAAGACATCATCGAAACTCCATCCTGACGCTCCGTCTTCAGCCCATTGATCGTAATCTCTCTTATTACCCCTCACGTAAACCATAGAATTGAGAACGCTGCTTCCTCCCAGTACCTTTCCTCTTGGCCAGTTACTCCGCTATTTCCAAAGAATGTTTATTATAGTAAATGTAATAAATATACTTTCATAATATAATACTTTGGAATAGTAATATTTAGATAAAAGAAATTATAATTTTTCAATAGAATTAAATATTTTAACAACCAGTATAGAAAGTGAATAAAAACTAATTAGTGCACAGTACTTGTTGATTATATCCCCGACAAGAATTTTTTTGTCTGGTTGTTGTGTATTTCCAATCGTATTTCGTTTTTTGCAGGTGTATGGAGAAAGATGTCGTTTCCGAAATGAGATTAGGAAGTTCTCCAGCTTCTAAGAGTAGAACTTTTATGTTTTCATCTTTAGATAATCTGTTTGCAACAACGGATCCCGCAGATCCACTTCCCACTAGAATAAAGAAAACGATCGATTAAAATATTAATGGTAATTTGATATAGCCTACGTTATAAAATTTTTAAATATGTTGAAAATATGATTTTCAAAATATTTTACTATATAATCAATCCATGGTATCTGATATTCACAGGTTGTTTATATATAATACAGAATTATCTTCCCTTCAGAATCAAACATATTATAACCTATCTCATGATCATATTTATTTATTTATTTAAAACTCTTTCCCCCTGTGAGCAATAAAAATGCGTTTTAAGTAAGCCTATTATGGGTGTTGCCAGACCTATAATTGGACGGCCGTATGGTGAGGGATATGCCCGACATATCAGCAGAATACACCCGAAAAACTCCTGGTGATTTCGACTTGCCTGGATTCAATCCAGAGTCCCTCAGGACTATTCTGCCTTTCATGGTCATAGTATGTTGGATTCCTGATATAACATGTTGTTCAGTCAAATTTAATTTAATAAATGTTAAACTTGACTAGCATTGTTACTATCGTCAGAGAGGTCATGAATATTTCGTTGTTCCAAACAGCTACTCCCGAAAACTAGAGGCGTTTAGTAAAAAAAAAATCTCAGAAGACCCAGAGAAAAATGCAAAAATTGTCACACAAAGACTGCAGAGTATAGAAATACCAAATAATTATAGATACGATTACTGTCGTATGTAAATCTTTAAGTGAAAACAGGAGTGCCAAAGCGGTAATACCCGAATGGTCGGGGCATTCTCGCTCGATGGATAGCATTGGATTATTATTCAAAAATATTTTTAAAATAACTTGTATATTAAGTAAATAAAATCGAATGTAAAGAACACTTTAAATTTATATTTCACTAATAAAGTTTTCATGTTTGTATAAATCTGAGTGTGTAATTTTAGTTTTCTCTTAGATACGAGGCATTACCAAACTTTCTCCTATGTGACATTTAATTTAATACCGATAACGTTAACTCGATACGGACACTAAACCGAAATTTCTAGTTAGCGTAGTTGTCTAGTTACTAATATTATAATTCTAAATTTACTTTTTTAAATAAAAGAGAATAAATATTAAGATATTATTTGTGTAATTTTAAAATTTAAAAATGTTAATATATAATTCTCGTATTGTGTAATATTTCGTAATGCAATTATGTTTTGAAAAAATTAAGTAGCTATATTTAGATAGAGACGAGTCAGTAGGATTGTTTAGCCAATGCCTTAAAATTTAGTCTTTTATATAGAAAACATGACAATAAAAATTGTAAATAAATTATAATTTCCTTTAATGAACGATAAAAGTCTTATTTGTTTTATTGATTTTATTTATATATATTATTTTTATGACACTAGGAAAGAGATAGACTGGATGTCTAGGTGTCATTTCATCTCTTTCCTATCATATAGCATTTATGCTAGCCAATACGTGGTAATTTCATCATTTAAATGGAGAGTAAATTTATTTTAAAGTTTATTTTTCCTTTAATATTACTAAATTCGATTATCCTTTATACTTATGCCGGTAAGAAATGCATGTATTAAATTGATTTAATATGTATAATTAATGATTAGTACAAACGTATACGAAATTAGATTTTAAAGTTAAATATAAAACTTACCAATCACGTAATCATATCGATCACGAAACTCCGGACTAACAGCTAATATTAAAGGGAAAAAAAGAATTAATTGAAAGGGTAACATTTCTTATTCCCTCAATTAATGATTTCTGACTAATTTATTATATTATATATTTATCTGTTTTATCAAAATTATCTCGAAAGGTCGACTTTATCATTAGATTGTGGTAAAACCCAATTGAAAGATTTAGTTTTATCGGAATAATTAAGTTAATGCTAAGAAACCGATAGGGTTTTACTCAGTTCAAATTATGTTAATCGTCATATTATATAAAATAAAATTATCATTTTTTCGAGGAATGCTGTTTGTATATAGTAGGAACAACGTATAGGCCTACATATACATATGTTGTCGTTGTTCCTGACAAATTTAACTTTTGGAATACCGGTATATACAGTAATTCACAGCACAAAGTTTATTTATTGATTAAATTAAAATCAAAATCTCATTTAGTTGCCAAGAAATTATATAGTTTGTATCGAAAACTCGTCCTTAATCTTCTCCAGTCTCTGCGAGTAAAATTGGCTGTAGTCGGGTTTAAATGCATTTACTAAAAGTGTTCTCCAGAGTTTAAAAACAGGCATATTTTACGTTTAAATAAGCATCACTTCGGGAATAAAAGAAATATATTCGGGTTACAAACGGATCATTATTTTCGCATAAACTAATTATTTGTATATTATAATCTACAAACTAAATATTAGAAATTTATATATAAAGACCTAAGCAGAGAATATTAGAATTTCTATGACTTCTACGAAAATCGTATCAACTTTGACGAACAGAAAACACCCATTGTAAAGAACTCGAAAGATTTTGTAATAATTACGCGATAAATATATCTTGGAAGATATTAATAACTAGACTTTATTGTTAACTCTAATCTTGATTCGACCTTCGGAACTTAGACGTATTTATAACTAAGGTGAGAGAGCTTCGATGCATAGTAGCAGATTCGATAGATTTACAGAGAAATGTTTCGTCTTATATTACTTGCATTGATTTCATTCATAAGAGCAGGCGATGTAGATTTTCGCAAGGAGTACGATTACATTATTAGTGAGTATTATCAATAGAAAATATCATGTTTTGATATATTTATAAATATTATTTTAATGATACAAAATGATTTTTAAAGCATGAATTTAGAAGGAAAATATTGGGGGAAAAAAAAGTTTATTTAATGAAGGAATAATGAGTTAAGTGTTATACTTTTATTAAGAAAGAAACTTTAATTTTTCTATCCTATCAGATTCTACTTAGAAACTCAAATGACAAAAACCTATACCACTAAAATCAAAGACCAAATAGCTTAATTTCGAGTGTATAGATGAGTTTTATAATAATTTGTAGATGCTAATAACGAGTAAAATATTCATTAAATCCGACACCACTCGAGATATGGTACCGGTACACGACCCCTTCTATCTTCCCATTTCCTTGATCTTTAACCACCGAAATTTATTAGCAAACATGCCCCTAATATACAATGTTCCCTGCAAAATTTCAGAAATATTCGACAAAACACACAGGAGTTATTAAGCTTGAAAGTGAGTGAACAAAATAATGTCTTTCCCATACAAACTTTCAGAAAAATCCTCAACTTTTTTGCATTTCTTGGCCATACTCTTTCAGAAACACAAGAATATATATATAATATATAAAACAATAACTAGATCACTACATATTTATAGATTCAATGGTCTAGTTAATGTTTTATATCTTGATAAAAAGATAAAAGAATTCCAGCGTACAAACTAGTTTTTATAACGCAAGAGAACGATTTAAATATTCCCAAGGAGTATGATTATATTGTTGTTAAGTACGAGTAATCAATTATAAATAAATTATTATAATACATTAATAGAATTCACTTAAAATCCTTTTATTGTTAATATAGAATTTATTTAATTTTCAATTAAATATATATATATATATATAAAATCAAGTAATAAATATGTATAGGGGAAACCACACCAGAACTGAACACTTAAACGATCCACCTTTTAGAAATTGAAGAATCACAATATAAATACTGTACATTAATCTACAATTTAAAGTGCAACATTAAACAAAACTTAACATTAACTTTGTTTAATTTACATAGAGAATAAGAATCAGTAAAATTACACACAGTAAACTCAACACTGTAGATCTTTTATGAAGTTCTAAATAGGATCATTGTACTTTTTTCAGTCGGAGCAGGATCAGCAGGAGCCGTAGTGGCAAACAGACTGTCAAAAGATGCTAATATACACGTGTTATTATTAGAGGCAGGATCTAATCCTAGTCTTATCGCTGAAATGGCAGCATTTCCTGCAGAATTACAGCAAACAAAATATGATTGGGAATTTAAAACAGTTCCTCAGAAATTGTCTTGTTGGGGACTTAAAGATCAAGTATTGTTTTTTTTTTTTCCTCCCTAAATAAAAATCTTAATAAATTTTATTATTTCTAAAACAATTGTAATAATTTTTTTTTACAATAGCGTAGCTGCTGGCCTCGTGGTAAAGTTCTGGGAGGAAGCAGTATTCTTAACTACATGATATACGTAAGAGGAAATAAAAGAGATTTTGACGAATGGGCTAAAGATGGTGCGACAGGATGGAGTTATGATGATGTTTTACCTTATTTCAAAAAATCCGAAGATAATCGAATCCCCGAAATTAATCAAAATGGTACAAAATGTTATGTTCTATATTAAATATAAAAGGGATAGATCTATCTATAATTATAAATCGATTTATTTAGGTTATCACGGTATAGGAGGAGAACTAACAATAGAAAAAGGACCCGACAACCCTTTTAAAAGAGCATTTTTGAAAGCAGGGAAAGAACTTGGATACGATATAGGAGATTACAACGGTGAATTTCAGAAAGGTTATAAAGCAAATTTTTATTAATTTTTTATTAATTTAATACCCACATATTCTATGTCTTATATCAATATATTATATAAATTTAAAATGATAATTTCTTTTTTAGTATTTTCGGAAGTGCATGGAACATTAAAAGATGGAACTCGATGTAGTACAAAAAAAGCATTTTTAGATCCAATTAGAGGAAGAAGAAATTTAGATATTCTTACATCAGCTTTCGTAAGAAAGGTATCTTAAATTAATGCTATTTTTACTAAAGAAACATTCTACATATTTCATTTGTTTAAAGAAAAATAGGGAAAGGGACCCGAATGTCTATAACACTTCTTAATACCATTATGAACAAATGCCTTTACATTTGTTCGTAGTAAATGATAACTGGAAGATTTCTTACTTAATTTACTTAATTATTGCATTCTAAGATGCTTGAATATATTTTTGTTTTTAGAGATTGCTCTTACATAATGGTCCTTTCACTGGGGCACAGTCTAAATCTTAGTATACAAAATTTGAATGTAATTTAAAAAATGCATTATAAAATAACTACTTAATTAAATTTTACAGATTAATTTTGATGATGATAAACACGTAAAATCCGTGACTTTTGATTACAAAGATAGAACAGAAACAGTTTCAGTTCGTAGAGAAGTAATTTTATCTGCAGGTGCGATCAATTCTCCTCATCTCTTGATGTTGTCAGGAATTGGACCGAAAGAAGATTTAGAAAAATTTAAAGTAAGTACGTATACGTAAGATAAAAAAAAAAACACTATTTAAGTCAATAATAAAGTAAAACCTCGCTAAATCGAACTGTTTTCAATGAATAAATAATGTTTTTGTGAATCATCAGTGGTGGAAGCATGAGAACATATCAGCAAATATAACCTTCAATTAATGTAAACATAGCTATAGCATTCTATTTTAATATTGTTCTCAATAAATGGAAACGTGTACCATTATAAAATAACATTAAATGGTATGAAAAATCTTGTCTTCTTCCAAAATTCAGGCTGCTAACGAAGTTGATATACACTTTATATTGACAACAAAATACTGATCGCATAAGTAAAATCATTATTACTATAGAAATAATAGAAATCCCAATAACCTTTATGTTTAATTAAATGCTATATATTTTTTTTTTTTTCAGATACCCGTAATCTCTAATTTACCAGTTGGAAAAAACCTACAGGATCACATCTCCACTGTTTCTTTGATCTTTACAACAGATGAACCACATACATTATTAAAATCTAAATTGACTACAGATGATATAATAGAGTATTTAAAGAATGATCAAAGTAAGAATATATTTATTTCTGAATTACTGTAATAATTTAATATCAGGACGGCTGAGAGAGAGAGAGAGAGAGAGTAATTAATTTTACATTTTTTTTTTTTCCTCATACGAAATTTATTTTCTTTTAGATAAATTAACTACAATAGGAGGTGGCGAAGGAATTGCCTTTGTGAATACAAAATATAATATTATAAAAGATTGGCCAGACATAGAAATAATACTTTTTAAATTTAGTTTAGCTTCTGATGGAGGAACAACGTTTAGAACAGGGATTGGAATTACAGATGAGGTAAGTAATTGGTATTTAATGATAATTTTCTTTCTTACGTTTCTTTTATTCGATTTTTTAACGAGTTTATTATAATTTACTTTCGGATATTTTTTTCAGATGTTTACAAAATATGCAAGTTCGTACGTTAATAATGAAACGTTTACCTGCCTTCCATTCCTACAAAGACCTAAAAGTAGAGGAGAAATTCGATTAAAATCGATAGATCCTTACGAACATCCAATCATCGATCCAAAATATTTTTCTCATCCAGATGACTTGAAAGTTTTAGTTGAGGGTATAAGAATCTTTCTTAAATAATCGATAATAATCTATTATTACGAGTTATTCATTTATTGTATTAAAATGTTTTTAAGGAATGAAAATTTGTCTAGAAATAACATCTACATCAGCTATGAAAGAAATAGGAACAAAACCAATAGAAACTATTATTCCTGGTTGTGAAAAATACGAGAAATACTCAGATGATTATTTAGCTTGTTCTGCCCAAACATTTACACAAACAGTATATCATCCAATTGGAACTTGCAAGATGGGAAGTTCCTCTGATGACAGATCTGTTGTGGATCCTGATCTCAAGTAAGTGTAGAAATTCGAATAATTATTAGATACATTCAATGAGTTTAGTGAATTTGTGATGTGTTCGATACTTTTTATTTTATTTTACTAAATCTGAGCCATTTCACTCCAACTTACAATACATTTTTGCAGAGTTATAGGTGTTCAAGGATTACGCGTGGCAGATGCTTCTGTTATACCTCTCATGGTAACCGGACATACAAATGCACCTGCAATTATGATAGGAGAAAAGGCTTCGGATTTGATTCTTAATGATTTAAAAACAATAAAATCAAAGGAAGAATTATAAATAAATAAATAAATTTGCTAATAAATTGAAATAATTTAATGTACGAATTTATACATATAAAATATATAGGCTATATATGTAAGTTATTGTTATTTTACATTGTTAATTGACTGTTGAACACAAGATTGTGTTATTATATCATTATTATATCAAAAAAACACTTCTTCAAATATATCTTACACTCTTTAATTACAAAAAAATTGTAGGGAAAATATGTATTATATCCCCAAAAGTACAGTATGTATTAATATTTCAACAATGGTTGATTATTTATAAAAAAAAATGTAATGAAATATTTACATAAATGATTCTTTTTAAACTGTATATATATCGTCAATTCAGTCCAAATCTACAATGCAAAAATCTTCATCTACGTTATCTTTAATCCATTTTACATAACGATTAATAGCTGTATAAACAGCGGGTATACCTAATGGAGCGCATCCTGCCCAAGTTCCGAAAGAAGTGATACCAACAGTTATATTTCGATCACCTTCATCGAGAATAAGAGGACCTCCCGAATCTCCCTAAAATTTTATTTAAAAAAAAAAAATCACATTTTTATCTTCTTATAAGATAACTAATAGAATATTTACTTACATTGCATACTCCGACCATTAAACTTCCCGCACATAATTGATTTTTTGAGAGATAAATAGTGCCCAAACCAGCCACCCAATAAATGAAACTGCACCAACGATGAGAAGAAATGTCCACTTTTACTACTTGTAACAGTTCTGGTATGCGATTATTTACTTCAAAATTAGAAAAAATATCAATGAATCCAATTAATCTCATTAAATAAATTATTTGTTTTAATTCATTTAAATATGTACAAATTTGCAATTATTTTTTTAGATCTATATTCTAAAGTCTATAAGTATTGAAAGAATCACTGATCATTCCCGTCTTTGTCTAATATTTTTGACCATAACTAATATAATTGTCGTGAAAAATTGATTTTATAACAGTAATATAATACCTTAAATAATAATTTAGCCTATAAAATACAAGATTAAAATGCAGATTAACTTACTTCTTCGTGTATTTCCCCATCCCATGGCTAATGCCATCTTTCCTACAAAATCTTGATTTGTATTCGGAATACAAACTGCTTGAGTATTTTCATCAAATTGTAAAGGTGTCGACAATTTACATAAAGCAATATCATTTTTTACTCTGAAAGATTTATATTCTTTATGAATAATTATTGACGAAAACGAAACTTTCGTCGATGATAATGATCTGTTAACGTTGCCCACGACAGCAGAAAACGAACGAATCGGATAAACTTTACCTCTAAAACTTAAAAATAACAATAAAATAAGATATTATATATTTAATTTAATTAACTAATAATAATAAAATTTTATTTACTCCACTAAACAATGTGCTGCTCCTAATAACNGATCGGAAACGACAGGAATCTGAAATTTAATATTAAACTAGTTTATTGTAAACTTTCAATTTAATGTTGAAGAGTTCTAAGTTAGCAATTTTACCCGAAGCTTTTCTAGTTCTTCTTTTGGTCCAATACCTGACAACATCAATAACTGAGGAGAATTTATGGCTCCTGCAGACAATATTACTTCTCTACGAACTGAAACGGTTATAGTTTTGCCATGGTAATCGAATGTCACACCAATTGCACGTTTATTATTGTCAAAGTTGATCTAAAATAAAGTATATTATTATATTTATTATTAACACACGTGAATGAAATTCAAAGCTGTAATCGTTCTATAATTTAACATATTTTTAATTGCCTTATTTTGAGACATATATCACGTAAAATTTGACTAAAAATAAGGAACATAATTTTTGCCTTGCGAAGTTGTGATTTTACATAGAATAACGAATTGACCAAATTGGCCTTACGTACGCTACAGGTAACATCGACTTAGCTCAAGTCTTGAACAAAAATGTTAATAAAACAAATTATTTTTTTTTTTTTGGAAAATACAATTAACTCTAGATAAGATATAATCAAAAATCGCTTAATATTTTATGCTTAATAACAAAGAGGTATTTTGACATTTTTGGGGGTATAATTGAAGCATCGACCACACGTAATCCTTTAACGCCTTTAACCCTGATATTAAAAATATATATATATGAGTTATTATATAACAACATAAATTATATTATTAAATACAATACTGACTACAGTAGACTCCCCTATATAACATTGTAGATAATTCCGTATTATATGAATTCCATGTTGTACGAGTCACTTAGATTTTACAAATACGTGTGCCGAGCTGTGAACTGCTCACGTATTTGTAAAATCTAAGTGACTCGTACAACATGGAATTCATATAAAACGGAATTATCAACAGTGTTATAGGGGGTCGACTGT